ACAAAATGCAGCAACAAAGAACACAACACAGTCTGCAAGCAACCACCTGGAAAGAGCAAAACCCTTGACCGAAAACAGATCATCAAGAAACTTTCTTGCAAACAACCAATCAAAGTGAAACAAAACCAAAATCAGCTTGTCCGATCATATCGAAATCCATGGTAGTTGAACATCATCACCCCATGTGCCGCCTCCTGGGGAAAACTCAAGGGCATCCATCACAGTGAATCTAGAAACTAGACTGCATGGCGGTGGAAGAGGATATGACCATATTGCTCCAAGCTGAAGAGGCAGAGGAGGCCGCGGCAGAGACATCAGGTTCGAAGAAGAGCAGAAGCTCCCAAGGTAGCCACAAACCTCCACGAAAACACCGAATCCCAACCGCAAATACCGGAGAAGACCCAACCCACCACCATCCGACAGCTCACCAAGCCATTCATACACCAAGGGAGGTTGGAGAGGGAAAGAAGGGAATGGCTTCACCTTGAAGATGAGGCCACCAACGGGGGACAAACCCACTATCCAGATCTGGAAGAGGCTCCCAAGTTGCAAACTCCAGCTCCTACGACGAGCAAGCCCAAGAAAAAAGAACCAAGATCTGAAAGAAGAGCCATAGCTCGACTGGAAAAGAGAAAACTGAAAGCCAGAACGACTGGAAATCCGATTGAAAACTGCCCAATACACTAGCACGAGCACAAAAGCAAGAAAAGGAAACAATAGCAGAAAAATAAAAAGTTTTGGGCTACCGCCGGTCACCTAAAAGGAGCCGGCGGCAGCCCCCGGCATGAGAAAAGGAGAGCTGGAAGAGGAGAGAAGGCAGAGCAAATTTCAATTGGGAAAGGTAGAGAGAGAGTGGAGATCCACGCATGGAAAGTTACTGGGAAAAAATGGAGTATTATTGGATCAATGATGAGATGCATAGAATGTGAAATTGGTGTTTTGATTGTTCAAAAGCATTGGAGGCTGTCTAATTGCATGGGCGATGAAGATCACAAAGCAGTGAAGCCTTCGGTTTATTGGGTTGACCTTGAGAGGGAGGATGCAGACTCGGTTAAGCCTAGTCCCGATGATATGGATTACTTCATGGGAGTAGAGTCGTTAGAGGTCGAAGTTGCTGACCCTAGAAATCCGTTTCAAGTACCGGAGCGCAATTGGACGCGGAGGAAGCGCAAGAAATCACCAAACAATCATGAAGAAGAATCGAAGTGTAGACCTGGCGTTCACTGCAACCTTGAGGACAAGGTCGCTTTTAAGAGGAGGGGATTGTTAGAAACAAAGGGGTTTAGGGTTCGCCCTATTACTTCTGTTGTTCAATATATTATAATTATTAGCATTAGAGAAATTAGGCTAAGTCTTGGGCCGAATGGGTTAGGGTTAATTTTAGGATTTTGGGTATCTTTCTATTATAAATATATACTTTGAGTCTTACGTCGGAGAAAAAAATGAAAAAAATATTAGCAAAGTATCTCTCTCAAAATCCTAATCTCTCTTCTTCTCAGTTTCCGTCACCTATCCCTTGGTCGTTGACCATTCTTCTCCTCGATCCCCAAGTTCTTCTTCTAACTCCCTAAATCCCCAATTCTGTTCTCCCTAAATCCCAATTCTCAAATCTATTCGAAAACCTAAAGAATCGTAGTTCTTTCAGTAGCAAGGAGGGAAACAAATATAAACGAGAAAGGGGAGTGCTCAGGGTTGGTCTCTTTGCTATTCTGATTAAGTTATCACGGTGACTGTAATATCTCGAACCTTTATCCAAACAATATATTGTCCGCTTTTGGCCAAGACCCTCATGGTTTTTGACTTGGGGTGCAATTGAAGGTGACTCCTCATAAGGTCATCCATCCTTGTTGTACTTCACACTAAGCACGTTTAACTTCAGAGTTCTCACAAAAACTCCTCCATTTCACCCCAAAACGTGTCTTGTCAATTAAGGTCGGTCTCTTACTTATGAAGCATGTATCTCTCACGTTCTTTGTCGATGTGAGATTCGCCTAAGGTGTTACATACACCCCCCCCCCCCCCCCTCCTCTCTGGACTCAAGACCTTCGTTGAGATTTGCCCCACCATCGATCAAGAGGGACGCAGAGAGGCTCTAGTACCACTTGTAACATCTCAAACCTTTTTTCAAGCAAGATATTGTCCACTTTGGGCCAAGACCCCCACGGTTTTTTACTTGAGGTGCAATTCAAGGTGACTTCCCATAAAGGTCACTCATCCTTGTTGTACTCCACACTGAGCACGTTTAACTTCAGAGTTCTCACAAGAACTCATTCATTTCACCCCAAAACGTGTCTTGTCAGTTAAGGTCGGTCTTACTTATGAACCATAGACCTCTCCCGTACTTTGTCGATGTGGGATTCGTCTAAGGTGTTACAGTGATGATGTGAAAGTCATGTCGGCACCATATGCTACAAACAATTATCTATTACTCAAAGTAACATCAATTGAATGTAGCACATATGGAACAATGTTACAACATCGTTATTAAATGAAAAACATGTGAAACCATTATCATTACATTTTCAATTCCTTTTCATCATTTCGAAAATGTTGTATCATTTTTTGTTTTGAGAGGATTAAAGATTTCACAATATGTAAGACTTAATTTTGAATTGTTCTTACATCAATTAAAAGTTCCAAACTACAAACAACGGTTTTTTTTTTAACCAAGATAAGCCCCCAAGGCATGGCCGGACAACAACAATAAAACAAAACAACAATAATGAACGGTAGTCCGTATACAACCGGACTCCCGAAGAAAGAGCCTGTTATGCCACGAGATGGGCAGCTCTGAGAACGCTCCGAAGAGCAAAAGGACACGAAACTGACACAAGGTGAGAGAAGAGAGAAAGAGAAACTTCCTTAATAATGGAGTCTTCCTCTCTGAAGCATCTCCAATGATCAATTGATAATTTCCTCATAAGAAAAAGACAAGACATAATGAGTGAGTCATCATCTAATAGGCATCACTAATAACATGAATAGTTTAACAAGGGCAAATGACCTTAACTGATAACGTGATGAGGTTGATTGCTCGTTCTTCATGTAACTTAATTACTATAAGGTTCCCCTGCAATGTGGTGAACTCAAAAAGATCCACTATAGTACTAGAAATCCATATCTAAAGATAATATAATCTACCATTTAGAAAGATGCATAAACTCAATGGTAATTGATAATAAATTCCACTATAGAAAATAAAAAACGAAATATAATTAGTGACAAAAAAAATGATAATACATTGCTACTAATATATGATATAATAATGGAAATGAAAGGCCTGTAATCATTATAGAAATGAAAAATTAGTTAAAGAGCACCCCAATTAAAGGAAAGTCAATAATGGCATTGAAAATGGGAGAAAAATATTTATAACAATTAATACAAATCTCCCTATAAGGTATTACACATTACCGAAAAAGGAATTAAACAACTCAATTAATGATGGACGGAGTTAAAAGTTTTAACAGACAGATCAGGAAACACATTTAATGTATAGAATTAACCACCACCGATGGTGATCAAAGCACCGTTGGCGGCAAGAGAGCTGGACAATCAAAATAAGATGTTAAAAATATAGGTTACGTACTAGGAAATAATCTTGGCAATTGATTAACAGAAAGTAATTGAGGAGTAAATCCTCTTAATTGACTAATAGGGGGAAATAAACCAATTTAATTTCAAGCCGGTAATCAGGGGTTACCTCAATCCGTAGAACCATCCATTAATGCACGTCGGAGAGGTGTCCCCATCGGGGCCTTGATCGGAGATGGAGAGGAGGACATTGATGATCGATCGGGAACCAGAACCACGACCAATTCAATTTGAAATGAAGAGACTCGAAGAGAGGCTCAAACCAACGACAAGCGTCGAATATATATTAGATTAATTAACAGGGCATAAGGCTCTGAATAGAAGACAAAAACGAAGACGGCGACCTGGTGGCCACTGAGCCCAAACGAACTCAATCCTCTCTCCAGATGAATTTAGGAATTAACAGAACTCAACCATAACTCGATGAATCCACCTCCGGCGACGATCCCACTTCAGAAATGAAATAAAAAACGAGCCCTATAGAGAAATGGAGAAGAACCTGGAGGAAGGCTCCATCTATTGTTGGCTCCTCTGTTAGCCTGAAACCTAATTGTTCACAAGCAATCTAGAAATGAAAGCATAAGGAGGAAAGAAACAAATACCTGAGCTGAAATCTCCTCAGCAGCAAACTGCTTACCAAGAACAGGACAATCCAACTTGAAGCGACGATTTGATTTAATCTGAGAATGGTACGTTGGCGCTCTGGCGGATGACTCCAAGGTTTTCAAGGCCTGGTGTTTAACTTTGCCTGTGGATTCTTTTTTCTGGTTGTGCAGTTGGGAGCCGGCTGAGGAAGATAAGCTGGTTTTCTTTCCGACAACCCCAACACAGAAGCGGTACCCTGCATCAGCTTCTTCGGGGCCTCCCCTCGAAAGGATCTTCCAGATTGCGTATTTGCACCTTGGCTTCTATTCTGTGAATGGCGGAACTGGTGGTGGAGCACCAGATCTGGGCGATGATGGATCTTAACGGGAAGGACGAGGCAACATGAGGGAACGCTACTGATTTCCCCTGGATCGATGGTGTCGGACGCGGAAGAGGGTGTAAGGAGTGCGCAAGTCGTCGCCGCCGATGTCGACACGAGGCCGGGAAGCAACGAGGGCCGGCATGAGCTCGTGGCCCCAAACAACGGGTTTACAAGCTAACTAATAATAGTAAAGTAATTTTGACTTTCGACAATCTTAAAACAAGGAAATACGACCAATTGACCTAAATTCCTTCGAAAGTGGAAGAAAAAAATAGTAGAGCCACAAACTAAATTACATGTTACAGAAAACAGGTTTCACAGTAGAAAAACATACAAATCACCTTCAGTTTTCACCTTCTTTCCCCACCAATCTCTCCCATCCTTACATACAGAACCAACCAATTTTCCATTCACATTCACCGTTCAACATCCTATTCTCATCACCCATATTTTCTCCTCCCCCCATCAAATAATCACAAAGAAGAGAGAAACATTTCGAGAACGAAAAAGGAAAGCAAGACAAAAGAAGAGGCCTTTCCTTTTTCTTTCTCCTCTCCAACAAACCATACCATGCATAGCCATACCACAACCATGGCGACTAGTAATACACCCTTTCTCCCTCTCCTCACCATCGCCATCTTCCTCTCCATCCCTCTCCTCTCCCATTCCGAGCCACAACTCACCCTCGACTACTACAAAACCACGTGCCCCGACTTCGCGAGGATCGTGACCGCGACAGTCACCACGAAGCAGATCGCCACCCCGACGACCGCTGCAGCCACGCTCCGGGTCTTCTTCCACGACTGCATGGTCGACGGGTGCGATGCCTCGGTGCTCATCGCCCCCAACAGCTTCCACAAGGAGGAGCGCGACAACGAGCTCAACCACGCCCTGCCGGGCGACGGGTTCGACATCGTCACCCGGACCAAGACGGCCCTGGAGCTAGCGTGCCCCAGGACCGTCTCGTGCGCGGACATCCTGGCCCAGGTTGTGCGCGACCTGGTAGTCATGGTGGGAGGGCCCAACTACCCAGTCTTGCTGGGCCGCAAGGACAGCCTGGTCTCGCGGCTCAGCGACGTGGAGCCCAACCTCCCCCAGCCCAACATGACCATGGACGTCATAATCAACCTCTTCGAGTCCAAGGGGATCACGGTCCACGAGATGGTGGCCCTCGTCGGGGCCCACACCCTCGGGTTCGCCCACTGCTCGGAGTTCGCCGACCGGATCTACCACTACGAAAAGAACATCCCCACGGACCCCGACATGAACCCGACATACGCGGAGGCATTGAAGAAGTTCTGCTCCAACTACACCAAGGATCCCACCATGTCGGCATTCTTGGATTTGTACACTCCGGGGAAATTTGACAACATGTATTACCGGAACCTGCTCAAGGGGTTGGGACTCCTGGCGACGGATCAACTGATGGCAGAGGATCCGAGAACGAAGCCCTTCGTGGAGCGATATGCTGCGAATCAGACCGCCTTCTTCGAGGATTTCGCCGAGGGAATGCAGAAGCTGGGGATGGTGGATGTCAAGACTGGGGATGAGGGGAATGTCAGGGACAGGTGTGACGTGTTTAACACGTTCAGGGCTTAAATTTGCCCTAACAAGAGATTGAATCCAGATTGGATCAGAAAAATTTCAAGTGCGCTTTGATGAGCAAGACCTTAATTAATTCGAAACACAATAGGAAATTGATTGGGGAAAAAAACTTGGAAAGAGTACTGATGTAAGTTCTGTTTGATGTTATATGTAAGTACTTTGGTTAATGCTATTCTGTAACATCTTGCTTAAGTTTAATACACGCAGTAACTGTCTTAATTCACTGTCGCGATCTGAAACGAAAATCGCATACAAAGATGTAATCTAATTTGTTAACCACAATGGACATGAGTAGAATGAAACACATGCAGGAAATTCACAAGCTTTCATGTTTCCAACACCAGCACAAAATTACAAGCCATTTCCAGATGAGCTGCTGGTACCTGGCTGCGTTGCAAGGCCTAGTTGAACATAAAGACGCTGAGAATCTTTCGAAACGTATGATGGGGAAGGCCTCACGATCACGGATCTGTTGCTACTTCCAGGGATAATATCAACAGATTCAGAAAGATGCGATAACGTACCACTGAGTGAACTCTGGTTCTGACATGTTGTCGAGTTGAAGCTAATCAGTGGCTCCTTGCCGGGAGCGAAAGAGAAAGGATCGAACCATGGAAGATACTGATAGTACATGAGATTGGAATGACTCTGCAGGGGCTCGAAGTGTAAGTTGGAGTCCTGTTGATGCATTCTTCTCTTCTTCAGTCTCTCCTTTTTGTGAGCATTCTGGTGACCTCCTAAGGCTTGCGAATTTCTGAACTCCTTGAAGCAAAACTGGCATTCAAACTTCTTCTTCTTCTCTGCTTCACATACCATTCTTCCTTCTTCTGCATGTTTCGAAATAGCAGGCAAGACTTCGCAGCTTGCAGATTCCTTGCTCTGTTTCTCATCCTTAATGTGAGGATTCACCTCAAAGCCAAATAGCTTCAACAGCTTCACCTCCATGAGCAATCCAAGCAACTAACTTGATCCCAAATACCAAGAGGACAAAAGCACTGCACTGTCTTTATAATACAATTCAACTGAAGTTTTGTTATATCTCCACTGAGAAAATCAGTCTATGCCATAAATAGAAAACAGACTTGGATCACATGACGCAAATCACGGCTGTAAAAGCAAACATTTGGTGCATGAACAGCATAAAGTTATGGAGGAAGACACCTAAATGACAAAGATAATTCAGATAATGGCTGTCAGGCAACTTGTAGTTGTATATATTAATACTAATGATCATATAAAATGTCACTAGGTATGTATTCATCTTTCCACATCGAGGAACAATCCACAAAGTCCTCCAAGACATTACTCTTTTCAGTGTTTCTGTACAACATGAGCAAATGGATGAGCATGTACATAGCTCAAGGAGATATGCCCTCTACAAATTTGAGGTGATCCTGGAAGTCAAAGTGGTGAGGACTTTCTAGCTAGGATGCCACTAATCTGAAAACAATTTCCACCGAACACTGCTGCCATCAGCTATTATGGCCATTTTCCAGTATCAAATGCTTGTTTAATAATACCTTTTTGTAACAGTTCCTAAAGCTTCATGCTGCTGAAGAGATCAAGATACCTATTAGTTGCTCAACTAAGGAATAACATAAGTGGAAAGTGATGATAGCATATCTACTATCAAAAGCGACATCAACAAGATCTGTGTCTATCACTATATATCTTTTTACATAAAGCTAGCACAATGTTGTATTCCCATGAGCATATATCTAATAGCTTCACGAAAGTCTTCACTATTACTCTAGCAAACTTTGACAAAACACCAAGTTATAGTCATTGCACAATTAACCTTAGTGGTTTTGTCGGGCTCTTGGATTGTGATATTATACAATATTCGTCAACTCATCTAAATGGAATATCACTCATAAAACCCCTTCTATCCCAGTCTTTAAATTATTACCTCAAACATCAAAGAGTCCTTGGTTTTCTGGCATGTAAAGAATGTTCAGTTGGATCTAAGCAATGAAAATATAGAAACAGCAGGATCCTATCTTGCCCTAACCCAAACTTCGATTGATATTCTATATTTCTACATGTACTCCACTGTTCTCTTATTCTAATAGTTTTGGCAGGGTAAGTCTTTAATCTAGAAAGTAAACCAAGGATTTCAACAAGTAATGCACACTGAAAGGAAATACTCACTCTATCTGTCAACGAAACAACTGAATGACATATGTTATATGAAAATTCAATTATCTCACTTATCTGTTGTAGCTACAGGAAAGTTGCTGCAATAAGCTAAAAGAGGACATGAGCCCTCATGGGAATCCTTCTTTTTAACGTTGCTCACTTTCTTGGTGCATCTTTGACAAAGCTAACCGTGTGTGTAAGAAGGCAATTACAATCAAATTTCAGTTCATCAGGGATCCTTTGATTAAGATGGATGTACATCTCTTATTCCGGTCTACCTCACCTGGTATGCAACCAATGACCTTTGCAATCTCAAGCACCTAAACATAGACATTATGCGCATATATGGATAGGTCAGAACACCACTCAGAAAAATCGATTTACACAACCTGTTAAATCTTAAGTATACAGGACTGGAGCTCACATGTGTCCACTGGGAAATCATCGTCCGAAGATTGAACATTAGAACACAAGCTACCTGCCAATTTATTCACCTCGCATAAATTTCCAAGCAATAAGTAGAACAACATATAGCAAGGTAAAGGACTGATTAACATGGAGGTTATAGAGAACTTGCCAATGAAGGAATACGAGAAAAGGTAATATGATAAGGTAAAAGGGGGAAGGCAAGATAACTGCCTGGGTTCAAAAGGTACAGTTACAAAAACATATGTCGACAATGCCAAACCGAAGTTCAAGTCAACCAGCTATTTCTAAGTACTTGTCTCTGACAGAGAAATACCAAAATGGCATTTTTAGCCAGAAAGTACAGGTGCAATCAATAAACTAAACTCCACTACTGCAACCATTTGAAGAATGGTGACTTGTTTTCTATGAGGCACCTAGAAATAAAGGAACTAGCGCTAATTTTATTTCCATGGCAATGAATAAACCAAAGGTTGAGGTTCGTTCTGGCCACACCTTCATGTGTTAGAGACATCCCTATCAAGAACATTAACTTGATAAATCGATTGCAGGGAACTCAAATGTGCAGGGAAATTCTAAGCAGCTCCGAACTTCGTTGTCTTCTAACAATGAATCTTATCCCTGGAACTAATGTGATTCACAATGATGGATACCGATCCCAATATGTGACAAGGAACTATTCACCATTTTCAACAATTCCACATTCCAAAAGATTCAACCTCGTGAATACCACGGAAGACAATCCAATGTCCATCATTGAGAATGAAACCAACCTCTCCACTCATCTTGATCCAAGTGAACCATACACGACTAGGTGCCCTGTTGAACTTATCAACTCTGTTCCAGGAGGGAACAGTGGCGCCTAACACAACCAACTTGTTTGCTAAACAGAATACTTATTCCAAACAATTAAAGCAGCTAACTGATACTTCCTCTTTAAATAATAACCATAAAGGGACTATTAACTGAGAAACTTACAGTTTTGGGGTCAATTCCTTTGAGAGAGCTCAGCTTTTTATTTCGTCAACTGATAGATTTCGCAAATATTCCAAGCACAATTTGCATTTTCTCTCCTGCAAACAGCTCAACAAGTTTCTAATGCAGGAAGTCTACTTGGTTCAGCAGCAAGCACCTTTAACAATACAGAGACAAACACCACATTCCCATTAAACATCTACATACCTCACACAGGAAAGACGAAAACTTTTTGTCCAGTTTTCAGTACCAGGGCAGCCAAGGAAACAACCAACAAAGAGATAACGAAAACGAAACAAGAGCTCACATCTTCCCAAGTGGGGGAAAGCAGATTTCAGATTGGAGAATGCTCTCGAGGAATTAACCTCAGTAGACCATCCAAAACGCTCTCTTCCGCTTCCTCGCTGTCCAGCGGTGCTCCAGATGATTCCAAGCTGTTTTTGGGAATTGCCGTCATCGTCATCTGGGCACATACTTGGTCTCCCCCGGCGATACTTGACAGACTCCGGCGAGAAGCCATGGTGAGAAAGGACGGAGTCGCGAATGGCGCGGCAACCTTGAGGGGTGGGTCGAAGGTGAGTCGGGTACGGTTGCTTTCTCTTCCGGGTGTTCTGTATTCTGGCTTCAGAATTGCCCGGCGATGACGGATGATGGTTTGATTCCGAACTGAGGGTCAGCAGGGGCTTCCAGGTTGCCAAAGTAAAGTGGGAGACTTTTTTTCCAAATTACATGCATGGTCACTCAATTTATCAATTTTTTTCAAGTTTGTTATTGAAAATACTTTTTCTTCTTATTTCGGACACGAAACAAAAAGGCAAAATTCGGAAAAAATCCCAAAGTACACTAGTTTTTAAAAAAAATTTCCAAAATACATTAGTTATAAAAAAAATTCCAAAACTACACATGTTTGAGCATCACCGTTTTTGTCTAAAACGGTGAAGGTCATCACCGCGTTTGACAAACACGGTGAGTACTTCACCGTTTTAAACTAAAACGGTGAAGGGTTCACCGCTTTTGTTAAAAACGGTGAAGTACTCACCGTTTTAATTTAACACGGTGATGCCTTCACCGTTTTAAACTAAAACGGTGAAGGCTTCACCGTTTTTGTGGGCCGCGGTGAAGTTGCTGACGTGGACAGCATGGGGTATTCACCGCGTTAGACAAACACGGTGAATAACCCGTGTTTGTTTGCGTCAGCAATCCGCGCCAATGTGCTTTCACCGTGGCCGTTAGATGCGGTGAGACGCGGATCGTGGTTTTCTTCCCACGATCCGACGCCTCACAGCACGCCACGTCACCATTGCATTCACCGCGTTTGATTAAGGCGGTGAGTTCACCGCGTTCATCAAACGCGGTGAATGGAGCCCTAATAACTGCGCAGCAGCTCCTCCCCCCCTTCCCCCAAACTATAAATACCCCCTTCCCCTTTCACTTTCAACTCACCCCACAAACATTTCACTTCTTTCTCCCTCAATTTATCCGCTCTAGTCTCGTTCTAAGTATGCTCTGTGGTTGCGGCTAAGTCCGATCTTCCACATCAGAAAGAATTACTAGAGTTTGACCCTAAAGCCCCCGTCCCGCTAAGTTCCCTTCCCTTACAAAGCTAAACCCGTCGAACCTCTGTCCGGCTTCCGCCAATAATGGACGAAGAGGCTCTTCGTGTAGGTTTTTGGTTTGTGATTTTTTTTTTAATCGAAACAATTTGATTTATTTTTTATCAAAACAATCTCTGATTATATTACTTTTTTATAGATGGGTGCCGAGATATACGATCCTCGATTGTATATCCATTATGGCCCAAGGGATGCGAGTCTCTTAACCGATCAAGAAATGCATCGCTCCCGTGCCATTTGGGATAACAATCCGGTAATTTGATGAACTGACTTGCTTTATTTTATTATTTTCTAATGTTTTATTTTGCTTTATTTAATCTAATTAATTGATGTTTTTCCTATTTTTTTTTAGGAATCTCTTGTTCCCGTGGTTCATAAAGGGACCAATAACTTGCCCGCTTGGCATCCAAGGTTGGAGCCCTATATAGCGAGGACCGGTTTGGGAATGTTGCGCCATTTCTTGCGGATCGAGATCGACAACGAGCTGCTTACGGCAATGGCGGAACGATGGCGTCCCGAAACCCATACATTCCACCTTGCGGAGGGGAAAATGACGATCACCCTCAAAGACGTGGCGATCCTCACCGGGCTTCCTATATCTGGAGATGCCATCATTGGGAACACGACCAAACCCGGAGGAGGTTGGGGGCCGCTCATCCGTGATCGTTTGGGCTTCGACATGCCGACCACCACACCAAATCAAGGACGGGGGAATCCACCGTTGAATGCAGGGCAAGTGTCGGTCCCGTGGCTGGTATCTCACATCCAGCAAGAGGTGGAAATCAATGACGAGACACCGGAAGAACAAGTCGAGCGCTACGCCCGCATCTACCTCATCGGTTTGGTGGGTGGATTTTTGTTCCCCGACAAGTCCAACCGGTGGATTCAAGGCATATGGTTGACATTGCTCACCGGTGACTGGGATGCAATTGGAGAGAAGAGTTGGGGATCGGCCGTGCTAGCGGGCGTATACCGGGAGCTGTGTACTTGCTCGAGGGTTGGGGCAAAGCAAGCTGGTGCTGCGATGTTCATCGTTCAACTGTGGGTATGGGAGCATCTTCCAATGTTCGCACCTCTCGACCCACGTCCATACCGGAGAAACGATGATGAGCTCAACCTTCTGCAAAATCTCCCCTACGGTGTCAAGTAAGTTTATTCGGTACTTAGCCCAATTTAAATTTTATTACATGCTTGAGCTAGATTTAAATTGAATTTATTCCGTACTTAGCCCAATTTAAATTTTATTACATGCTTGAGCTAGATTTAAATTGAATTTATTCCGTACTTAGCCCAATTTAAATTTTATTACATGCTTGAGCTAGATTTAAATTGAATTTATTCCGTACTTAGCCCAATTTAACTTTTTATTACATGCTTGAGCTAGATTTAAATTGAATTTAAATTGATTCCGTACTTTTACTTACAAGGTGGATAGGAGCAAATACGAATGACCATCAGCCTGAGCATTCGTTACTGTTTTATCGTTCTGAGTTAGATAAACCATGGTGGAATCAGGTAATCATGTTTTGTCCATATTTGAACAAGATCAATTTTATCAAAGTAAATGGTCGTTAATTCCGAATTTTTGTGATTTTAGGTTATATGGGACCATATCCACGTGAAGTGGTTGAGCTGCATCATCTTAGGCACCCTCTGGATCACGAGACGTGGTTGTGCAAGGTGCCATTGATCTGTTGGCACATTGTGGAATGGCACCTACCCGATCGATCCCTGAGGCAGTATCGAATGGAGCAACCAATTCCACAAGACCCGCCAGCAGGTTTCAGGGAGCTACATGCTATGGACCTCCGAAACAATGCAAACTGGACGCTAAAGCATGGATTCTACATCAACATCTAGGAGAATCGATCCCAATGGGTGGTGCAAGGGATGCCGGAGACGAGACCGATGGGCTACCACGATGGGCACATGCAGTGGTATCGGAAGTTCACCCTGAGATGGGTGTCAAAGCAAGGTGCTGTGATGGGTTCGGTGGTAAGTCATCCTAATCTCCCTCATTCTTAAATATATTTATTTTAATGTTTAGTTAATTTGATATATTTTGTGCTTTCCTTAGGTTGATGGTTTGGAACACGCGAAGTACACTCTCGAAAGTGCTCCAACCATGGATGAGCGGAAGACTACTTGGTTGACCCGACTTATGAATAACCTCCTGAGTTGCACCAGAGAGCAAAGGAGGGATGTCGTGGCCTATCCTCCCGTTCCTGCCCCGGCACGACCCTCATTCCGTGATGATGCAGCCATTGTGCCCCCGGTTGAGCCCCCACGAAGGAGCAAACGCAGGCCTTTGCCTACGTTCGAAGAGGTGCGTACCACTCAAGAAACCGAGCTCCCCGAACCGTTCGAGTACCAGTGGGCACCTACAGCGGATGCCGGTGGAGGCTCATCGAGTCGTGGAGGATCTCAGGAATGGGACACTTTCTCTCATGGGTTCTCTCAATTCCAACATCAGCAACAAAGTTCGATGTTTCAGACCCCGCAACAACAAACTCCGATCATTCGTCAAGCTACCGCTCCAACTCAGCCACCACCACCACCATATGTAACCCCAGTTGGGGCTCGGGTCAAGAGAAATCCGCGACCAGCCGTTGAGCGAGCCCGCCAAGAAGCAGCGGCGGAGGGGGGAAGAAGGGGTCGAGGACGTCGTGGAGGACGAGGAGGAAGAGGTGGAGATGGGGGCCAAAATGAAGCAAATTAGTGAATTTATCGTTTTATCATTGTAGTGAACTATCAATGTTGTTTTTGTGATTTTTAGGTGTTGTTATTTGAGTTTGCATTGTCTAAAAACTATCCTACGCACTTAAGTTGTCGAATGAATTTTCTAGGATCATTTTATCAAGAATCAGTATCTTCCCTCAACACAAAAAAGTTGGGCAAATCAACCACGATCGCATAGAATTTTACAGATCCCAATTCCGAGTCCAAACGAGTGAGATAAGTGACGTCAAAGCGTGATCGTATCGTTAAAGTAACTTTTGCGTACTATAAACTAAAACGCCCGTATCTTATTCGTTTGAGGTCGAAATAACGAGCCGTTTGTGGCCGCGCGATCGTATCGACAAGGAAAACATTTTTGATTTAACAAAATACTTGGACTTCAAATGCAAACGTTAATGAAAAATTAAACAAGCGATCAATTTAGTAGCAGAATACAAGTAAATGCAAATTAAGTTGATGGTTGTCCTGGGCAACGCCTCTTGGAAGGCGAGCCAGTGCCGAATACACCATCTCCATCTCCACCCCCACTCGTCGGGAAAACCACCAACAGCATTCCTTATCCCCGCATGTCGATCGGATATAATCGTAATATCTTCCCGCTGTGTCACGTGTTCGTGCAGTTGGTCAAAGAACCAAGCCCAACTTAAACTGTTCTCCCCTTCCACTAATGCAAATGCAAGCGGGAAAATCCGCCTGTTTCCATCAACGCCAGTGGCAATTAGAAGACATCCTCTGTACTTCCCAGTAAGGAAAGTTCCGTCAACCTGAATAAAAATTTAGGATATAATTAGTATGAAATATACTTAACAGCAAATAATACAACATTTAAAACCGGAACTAGTTGGTAAAATACCTGAATAACCGGTATGCAGAACCCAAAACCGTCAATGCATGGTTTAAAAGCCCAAAAAAGACGATGGAACATCAGCTTATCCTGTACTCGAACTTGATCCTCAGTGTATACATTGTTGTATACTGGGACGAAAACAGTCCCAGGATTGGACTCCTCCATTGCTCCCATAAGTCTAGGGAGTAAAGCATACGAATCCTCCCAATCACCATACACCTCAGCCATGGCTTTCTGCTTACCATGCCATGCTTTTTTGTAACTTATCGTGTAAGAATGTCGATCCTTCACCTCTGCCATGATAGCTTTCACCTTGATATCTGGTTGTGCTTCTATAAGGTGCTTAATAGTTCTCCCAACCTTCTTTGCTTTTAGTTGCCTGTGATCTTGGGAAAGTATAGAAGAGGAGCATGTGTGGATCGTCTCAGCTTTGCGAATCACCCAAGCACCCTTTCTCTTCATATTTGCAGCCCGCAGTTGCCACGTACAACCCTCTGCATCATGCTTGCATATGACATGTAATTGTTTACTGTCAGAATATTTTACCTTCCACTCGAAATTGCGCCTCAACGCCTCTTCTGTAAATGCATCCTGCACAGCGTCTTTCGATGTGAACGCCATACCCACCTCCAGATTGGCCGTTGGATTGTACACTGGCATAGGGACAAAGTCGGGGGGATCATTCTGACTATGTAAAAATTGAGTTGGAACCTGTGTGTAATATGGCGTGGGTGCCTCACGAAATGCCGCCTCATCCTCGTTATCATCAGTATCTTCCTCCTCCTCGCTCACTGATATCAAATCTTCCTCAGTATCCTCGTCGCTTGACTCGAATGGATAGCTCGAGCTAGAAGGATCAACATGACCACGATCACCAACATCGTCCTCTCGCTCATGTGAAGTACGCCCTGATCGAATGGTATTCTCGATTCCATACCACTCTGGCCCCCAAGCAGGCCATTGAACACCATCGGCCTCAACAAATGGGGCTGGTTTAGGAGGTTGCGAGTATTGGTCCCATCCTGCACTACTCGATCCACCGTAGTTGATTGAACCACCACCCTCCCCGTAACCTCCTGTATAACCACCGCCTTGGTAGTTGCTCGAACTACCACCCCATTCGTACCCTCCTGCAAAACCATCATCATAAGAATACTGGTGAGAATGAGATTCACCGAGCGCCTCGGTCTCAACATACACCTCTGCAAGCCGGACTTGGTTATCGCTTAGGAACTGTAACATCATCATAACCGCGTCATCATCGTTTATGACAACTTCTTGGAACACGACCCCGCCAGCACTCATATCTGGATACCGGTAAGTAATTTTGCCAAGTCTCGTCTGTCCGCTCGTACAAACCCTTTCTGCACAAAGATCATAGAGTTCTTGAAAATGGAATCGGGATTCAATTTTCAGCATAATGGATTCGCCGTCCTCATAATCAATGCCTATGTCAGAGTTTGTCACCCTTCCATTCCACCGAATAGTAAGATGAAACTTCTTGAATTTACCCATATCTACAATTTACAATAAGTATCTATTAGCTTAAAGACAGTAAAATTAACCAAAATCATATTGTACAACTAATATTAAATCATACCATAACTAACGAAAATAAATTCAACTAACTAACAACAACATAATACGAAAATTAAATCATACTATAACTAACGAACATAAGTTCAACTAACTAACAACAACATAATACGAAAATTAAATCATACTATAACTAACGAACATAAGTTCAACTAACTAACAACAACATAATACGAAAATTAAATCATACTATAACTACTAAAAACATAATTAGACCATAATACGAAAAGTCTCAACATACCGAAAAATTTCTGTTCTGTGTATTATGCTCGATTTTGGCTGCTGAAATTTGAAGAAAGGGGAGTGGTTATGTTTTTACAACTGCTGGTGGTGTGCTATTTATAGGAAAATCTGCCTACTATTCACCGTTTTTGTCAAAAACGGTGAACACTATCACCGCGTTTGTCTCAGACGGTGAATAGGTGGTAGCTGCGACCTAATTTTGACCTACCAGGGGTGGGAAACGTGGGAAATGATCACCGCGTTAGTTAACAACGGCGAAGGCTTCACCGTTTTTGACCAAAACGGTGATGTATTCACCGTTGTTAATTAACGCGGTGAAAACTTCACCGTTTTGGTTTGAAACGGTGAATACTTCACCGTTTTTGTTTAAAACGATGAAGTATTCACCGTGTTTGTCAAACGCGGTGATGATCTTCACCGTGTTTGTCAAACGCGGTGATGATCTTCACCGCGTTTGTCTAAAACGGTGATGCTCAAACATGTGTACTTTGGGAAATTTTTTTATAACTCATGTATTTTGGGAATTTTTTTTAAGAACGTGTGTACTTTGGGATTTTTTCCGCAAAATTCATCTGTGTAGCCAAAACTTTGTTGTTTGTGACAATAATAGCTACTTTTGGAGAAATACCAATAATATCCAGAATTTTGAAAGTTTGATGACAATAATAGCCATTTCCGTTCAAAACTTTAACGGTGTTACAAAATTTCGTCCGTTAACTAACGGTACGCTGACGAGAATGCCAAGTCATTGCCATGTCAGTGACAACTCAGCCTTAATTGCCACAGATGTCATGTCACAATTTAATTCAAAATATATTTTATATTTATTTTTCATTTAGAAAAATATAATTGTTTTATTTTAATAATTATCTTTCTCTTTCTTTCCTGCCTCTTCGTCCGTTGCCTTCTCCCTCTTCACAAACGAACCATCATCGATCTTCTTCACCACCAAACAAGGTTGTCAACCAGCAGGTTGACCCACTTTGACCCTGACCCGGTGAGAAAAACGGGCCGCACGCACCCGCCGGGTCGACCACCACAAGGTACCGGGTTGGAGGTCAAATTGTGTCTTTTTTTCTTTGTTTTAGGAAATGCGCCTATTTTCCGATTTTTCTTTTCGCCTAACTCAATCTTTGGAATCCTAAGTTGAACATTTGAATATTAATGTTTTATAAGCGTGTGTGAATTTTCATTATATGTTGAATCTAAGTACGAAATGTTATTTTGGTGTAATATTATATGTTATAACTCATATGTTAGATGATATTTGATATAATTTATCAGGATAAGTACAATATAATGACGCTTTTTATATTTCCGGGCTAAACCGGGTGACCCATTAACCCTTGACCCACTAGCTCAACCGGGTCCGGGTCAACCCGCGGGTTGACAACCTTGCCACCAAACTTCTCCCTCGATTCCCCTAGACCCACCCATCCGGTCGTCGCTCCAGCCCATCTCTTCAATCGCTCTAGTTGACTGGTCGGGCATCTCTGGGAGTCTGGGTTTCGCCTCAACCCTAGAATTTGGGGAAATAGGGTTCCATCTCATCAGATCCGGCTATGATTGATGACGACTGCTTCCAATACGACGGCGGCGGGATCGAGAGATGAAGAGAGGTGGCGGTGGCTGAATCCTTCTTCTCTATTTCACTCGACCAATCGCCTCCTCCGCCCCCTCAGTCGCACAATCTCCACCTCCACTGAGCCCCTCGTAATCGAAACATTCACCGCCTACCCAAACGCCATCTAATCATTCTTTCTTCATTCAATTCCATCCCTCTCCAACTCCCTCAAGTCGTCGGCCACTCATATCCACCACGGATCTCCATCTCAGCCTAGTCCCCTACCTCAAACTCGCCTCACCAATAATCAATTCATATATTCTTCCCTTCATCTCCATCTCCTCGTTCACCGAACTGCTCGCCATCTTTAACCTTTGCCCCTGTATTCCAATCAACACAGATGGGGAATAATAGAGATAGATGGGGAGATTCCCATTTTTCACAGAGATGTCACAGAAATCGGCCACTGTCGCTAGTCGCCCACCGCAGAAACTGGGAAAGCCCATTGTCGCAGGAGTGGATGAGGGATGATGGATTAACCTCAGGAATCGCAAGAAGGGCTGCTCGAGCGGCGGAAACAGAGGACGCTCGTCAGGCTTCTATGAGGCGGAGGCGGCGGCGGAGATGAGAGGATGAGCCGCCTCGACGAGTCAGGTAACTCGATTAAGCTCGAGGAAAGATTATCTCGACGTCGAGGAAGGAAACGTCGGCGTTAGGAAGGAGATTAAGGCGGTGGTGGTGATTGCAGAAGAGGAAGTTTCTGGGAGCTTTAGGTAAGTATTGATAAAGGGGAGGTGAACAGGCAGTGGTGGAGAGAAGAGATTTGTTATTTTTGTTTAAATTGATTAAAACAAAAGGATAAAATGTTAATTATTTTCCACCTAATATTATTTTTGAATAAAATGTGTCACGTCAACGACTGCAGTTAGTCCAGTCAGCACGTTAATTAACACCGTCAAATAATTGGACGAAAGTGGCTATTTTTTGTATTTCGCCAAAAGTGGCTATATTTGGCAAAACCGTCAAAGTTTTGGCTACACAAGTGTATTTGGCCAAACAAAAACAACATTCGGCGAGCTATTTGATTTTGCTGGGCAATTGGGTGTGCACTCCTCGATAAATCATAAATGGGTGGGTTAATACCATAGTTTGGCCCGAAGTTTAGCGTAAGTGTCAGTTTTGGCCCGATTTTTTCAATAAGACGTTTATGACCCACTTTTCAAATTATTGGACATATTTGGCCCGGAGTTTGAATTGACCGTTAAAATTGACGGTCAACCATTTTTTCCGTCTGTGAGTTAGCATCTTCTGCTGATGTGGCGCCGTCCACATCATTAATTAATTAATTAAGACAAATTTTTTTTTTAAAACAAAATCCATGGGAAAGAAAAACCCTCCCTTCCTTATCCCCACTACCTCACCTTCCCTGCCGCCATGGTTATCATCGTCCCAGGTTCCTTGCCGCGCCGCACCAACTTCGTTTGCAACTTCATCAAGTTTTCGCCGATGAACTCCGTCAACCATCAGGCCAGTACAGTTGATGGTGATGTTGTCCCCGAGGTTGACTCCCGGAGGACTTCTTTCACTCAGATCTGGAGCTCGAACCCGAGACCGTCTCGTTTGTCCCCAGCCACTTGATTTTTCCATCTCTTCCACGATTCTAGTGAAGAGCAATTGCATCGTGAAGAAGGATCGTGGTCGCTAGTTGTTGAATTTTGCGGTGGAGAAGTGGCAGATTGGGTTGAATTTGTCGAAACCCCTATTCCCTTCCTCTTCCCCACCTCATCGACCTCCTTCCGTCGTTGGCATTGGCGACTGTGGTTGCCGTCCCTCAAACCAAAACGGCGACGAACGATTGTTCAATCGACCGTTCTTGCCATCTTCCTTCTCGGACTCATCTTCGCCGGAGCAGTGATTCGGGATGTCGAGATGAGAGGCGCCTTAGATCGGTTCTCAAGTTCCCTCTCGATAGCAACGCGGAGGAAGAATAAGATGCGTCGAGGTTTGATTATCGAGAGGAGAAATGGAGGAAGCCGGTGGTGAAGCGGGATCGTGAGGCGGACGGTGGCGGAGCCAGCGGTGAGGAGGGATTGAGTGGTTTGGAGCTTGGTGGGGAATCAGAAGAGGGATTATACAACCCCGATTTTCCTATGCTTGGATTATTCTTTTAGGTTTTTTTTTTCAATTTCTTGTTTTTATTTTTTATGTGCTTTTCAAATTTTTTACATTAATATAAATGATGTGGCAGCCACGTCATTTCCACCTCAGCACTAAATACTGAGTCATTGACAGAATAAATGTTTGACTGTTAGTTTTCACAGTCAACTCAAATTCGAGGCCAAATTAGTCCATTAATTTGAAAAGTGGGCCATAAACGTCTTATTGAAAAACTCGGGCCAAAACTGACATTTACGCTAAACTTCGGGCCAAACTAAGGTATTAACCCTAAATGGGTCCATAACTTAGTGAGCTACTTGGATTAAGTTCATGGCCACACAGCAGCAGCAGAAGCCTCCCAGCCACCGGTGTCGTTGGTCTTTCCAATCCTACTGAATACTGATCCTATTGGAGGCATCTGATCTGGGTTATGGAAGGAAGCCATTGTTGACATTTTGCACACTATCGCCATATCCCATGCTCATCTATGTACTAACAGGCAACCAAATTCACCACCATTCATTCTGGAAATCAACTTCTCTTTGCTCAATCACAGCAACCCAGAACTACCTCAGCAAACACTATGATATCACCAATACTAGCTTACGCCTTACTTACACATCTAATCACTCCTCCAGAGCTCCCTACCTCAAGTTCTGTACACAAATAAATAACCAGGCCACCAGCCTGCCAGCCAGCCCCGTAGAAAATTTACAATTACACTCTTCCATAATCAACCAAATCCATGGCCGGCCATTACCGCTTCACTGCTATCGGCTGTAAATGTCTGGTAATTGGCAATACATCAAAACACTAACTAAGCATAACCTGCCTGCCTACTCTTCTTCTATACAAACACAAACCAAAAGTGAATGAAGAACCAGTACAGAACACTACTTCATCCTCTTCCCCAATCCTTCATCAATCAATCAACCCACCATTTAACTTACTATTTACACCAAACCGCCTCCCCGACCATCAGAACTCGCTGGAAATCGGAGCAACAGCCTTCCTCCCGCCCCCACCGGCAGGCATTCCCCGGTGGTACCGGCTCCGGCTGAATCCACCAGACTCCAGCACCTCCTCCCAATCCACTTCCTCCGCGGCCTCTTCGTCCCTACCCTTCATCATCTGCATTATCCTCCACGCCTTCTCCCTCGCCCTCTCGCTCCCCTTCTCCTCCACCTCCCGCAAAACCTCCCCCGCCCTCGCCTCCTTCGCCAGCCCTTTGAACCTCAAGCTCCCATGGCTCAACGAGTACAGCGCCGCCACGCAGTTCTCCCTAATCCCCATCACCTCCGCATCCCCCCTTCCACCTCCTTCTTCCCTCAGCATTGCCACCAGTATCGCCACTGCATTCCCATCGAGCATCGCAGACCTCCCTTCCGCGCTCACCGCCAGGTTACAGAGCACCAGCAGCAGCCTGCTCGCCAGCCCGCTCGTCTTCACCAGGCTCAGCAGCGTCGGGACAGCACCAAGCTTCACCAGCTTCACGCGGTTGCTCTGGATCAGGGTCAGGTGGTACAATGCCAGGGCCGAATCGTGCCTAGTCCGCTCGCTATCCGATCTCAGGGCGTACATCAGCGGCTGCAGCGCCCCCAGCACGCCAATCGCCATCTTGTTCTCGTCCTCCAGAGCTAAACTGAAGAGCGCCCCTGCCGCGTGCTCCTGCGACTCGCTGGACCCGTTCTTCAGGAAATCGATCAACAAAGGGACGAATCCGGACCGCACGATCTTCACCTTGTTCGGCTTCTCCAGGGACAGATTCACCAGCGAGGCCATGGCGTTGATCTGCAGCACGCTGTATCTCGACGCGATTGCGCTGCGAAGCGACGAGAGGAGCCGCGGAGTGCAGAGCGGACCCCTGATTTCGTCTCTCGTCCTGGTGAGCTTCCGCAGCTGAATCGCGCCTTGTTCCTGTTCGTGAACCTCGGGGCTTTTCAATTTCGCCACGATTTCGGCCTCCTCGGGGATCGAGGAGCTGCTGCAATCGGACGAATTGGTGGAGCTCGGAGTCTGAGTTAGGGTTAGGGTTTCGAGCTCGGTTATCTCGGAGGACGAATTGGACGACGTGGCGGAGGAATAGCAAGCTGGTTTCGTAGCCAGAGGAAGCGGAGTGACCGGAGTGACCGGACTGGCATCTCCTCCGCCGTCGACTATTACAGACTCCTCCGACGATCCCGAGTAGAAATGATTAACTCGGGGACTCACCTCGGTCGCGGCGTGGGAGAATAAAATCGGAGGGTTCTCCGCCACGGCCTTGAGCAGCTCCCTCTCTGAAACCCTAAGATCGGGATTCCCGTTCGAAATCGACGACGACGGCGAGTCGTTCATCTTACCCCGCACGATCTTCTCGAGGGAGGCGTAGTCCGGCGGCTGAGGGTGCGGGAGGCCGGAGGCGTCGCACCAGTTGTGAATCGTCCTCTTGAAGGCGGAATTGGGGATGACGGCGGCGAAATTGGGGAGGGAGGTGTCTTCGAGGATGGGGAGGAAGGCGAGGTCGAGGCAGACCTGGACGGAGAGGCGCTCGAAGGTGTGGCCGGAGGAGACGACGACCGGGTCGGACATGAGGGAGCCGGAGATCGGGCAGAGGAACTCCTTCGGGGGTTCCGGTGGCGGCGGCGGTTTGGAGCGGTGGTGGAAGGAGATTTTCCAGCGGTGCTTGCCGTTGCCGCCCATGGTTGAGGAAGATAACTAAAGATTAGAGCTTTCTGTTGGGTTGGACTTGGTGAAGGGAAATGGCAGAGCGGTAAGAAGCATATAGGGGTGAGGTTGAAGACTGGGTTGTTTGTGGGGAGTGAGCGAGAGAGAGAAAGAGAGGGACTTGGTCGACTTTGGTGGCGAAGATGATGATAGAATAGAATGGTGATGGAAGGAGGCAGGAGGGTAGAGAAAGGTAAAGTTTGAGAGAGAGGATGAGTTGATGAAGAAGAGTGTGGAGCCAGCTAAGGTGAGGTTTGCTTGCAAGTTGCAGGCAGCTGCAGTAGCTAAAAACCCTTTCCTTTTCTGGTCGTGTTGTGTTTTATTTATTCGATTATTTCTAATTTTCTATTGACGAAATTGACCTTTCTCGGTTCCTGGTTTCTTTTTACATGTTAGTGATGATCTGGGTCTCTGGGCAGTGGGCGAAATGGTCAGACTGGTTTTGGTTTTCGCAGGTTCGCCGAGTTGGACGACATTTGACCAGTCATTCTGCTCCTAGGCAGTGGTTTTTCTGTTCTTATTTATTTGAATATTGTTTTGACCCCGACCTCGAGGGATGGTCTCGACTCTCGTACTCGTAGGCGGCTCCGCCGTTCAAAGAAGTTTGACACAGAGAGCTTACTGCTGCGGGCTAAATTAATATGTGATGCGTTGGATTAAGCAATCTATGAGCATAGGTTTCTAGAATTGTTTGTGAGATAAGGTATCTGAACCAAAGGACCATGTCATGAATTCAGATTTGCTCGCTCACTTTTTTATTTACCGTTATAAGCAAGGTTTGAAATACCATATAGTACTGGAGGTCGTACCGGAAAAGTTAGCGGTAAAGTACTTTATGCTATAACCATGGTTTAACGATGGTTCAACTGTATTACACCGCTAAATATCGCTTACCGATTTTGCTTTCGGTAAGAGGGTTTTCAGGTTGAACAGTCGGTACAGTACGGCATTTTAATCCTTGCTTAAAAGATGCTTACACGGATAGGAGGATGGCAAATTTGCCTAGGTTGGTAAAAGGTTATGCTAAGTGGTGCAATCAATAATCCAATCGGTAAACGGTCGGTTATTGGTAGTCAAATTTATCTTGTAATTGATCGATTAACTTATCATAGTAATACTTGAAATTAGGGCCGATAATAATAGGTTATGATGAGCCGTAGGCATTGGCCGAAAATAATGTGATGTTTGAAAGACTACAAGATCTCTTTCATACCCTAGTTGTAGTAATAGTGAGTTAGATTCAAATGAAATTAATTTCGAAAAACTGCAGAAAGAGCACAATAGAAAAGATAGGCTTGTGCACAATAGCTCGACAACAATCAACAATATTTAAAACTTTTATGTAATTTGATGGGGCTTATGAGTTGAGTAATTGTTGCGGGTCACTTGTTTTAGGATGATTATTTAATCAAATTTGACGCTAGAATTGTGTTATTGTGTACGTGTGTTGGAGGATTGAGTCGATTATGAATTGATATATATGTTAAATTATTTTTATTTGATGATAAAAACTTATAAAAAAATACATTCTCATATAAGGGGGAAATTAACAAAAATGCATAATTGAAAAAAAAAGGAGGTATTCTGTTGGTAAGGTTGTCGATTAGTTATTTTGATCTAACCTGGTTGAATCGCTTACTTAACGATTATCCGGTTGACCGCCAAAATAACCAATAACAACCAAACTGTTATGGTTAACCAACTAATATAAATAATGTGATTAACGTGAAATACAAATTGTTTAACGGTTAACCACTTCCTTTATAGACGAACCGACCCTAAATTTGCCTACCTAAGGATGTCCCCTTTTATGTATGATCTTTACGGATATTATTTTGGATGGAACCAAATAATTAGGAAAACATATGGGAATTGTACGTAGTTTAATTCCAATATATCGATTAATTTGCATATATATTTTTTTATTGTCTCACCTAATTAACCAGTCTTGTATTCTTGTTTACACCTAAAATATTTTTTGCCTAAATTCAATGCCGTAATAATGAGTCTCGGCATTTAATTCGATATCGCATGGCCAAAGTGATGTCGTTTGGTGTCGAGCAATGTCGCGGAGAATTTAAGCGAGACCGCGAGGAGGCTCGGCGGTACCGCGGTACTTGAAACGACATTGGTTGCAGACCATGTGTGAGTCACGCGCAGGACATGTGTTGCTGTTGGACAAGGAATGTTTTTTATTTTATTTTTCCTTGTCGGAGGAGGAGAGTAACAACACAGTTTGGAGTCAAGCTATGCTGTGAAGAGATAAAACGGTGTCGCGGGCCTCAAAGCTCAACGGCATCGCGAGACAGGGGAACGGTGTCGTTTGGCTAAAAACGGCACCGCGATAAGCGGTATCGCGGAGAGTCAAAACGGTACTGCGGATTTAAAAACGATGCCGCGAGAGCCTGGTAAGCGGTACCGATTAATTAAACCAAAATTCGCCTAGTCTAGTGCGAGCGCCGATTGGCGGCAGTTCCATGGAATATTTTCGGCTATATCACCGGTGTCGTTTAAATTAAAAACGGTACGTGAGTAAGCCCAACGGTACCGCTGTATTAGCAAACGACAGTGTTTAAATATTTAAACAATGTCGCGGAAAGAAAAACAAACGGAGCTGTTTGGAGAGGAAACGACACCGCGGAGCTTGAAAACGATATCGCGCGAGGAATAAGCAATACCGCGGTGGTGGATAAAGCCACGAGCTAAAAAACATTGCGGTGGAGAGAGATGTCGCGGTCGCGAATCTAGCGGCGTTGCTAGTGAGGCAATGCCGCGAAGTTCAATGATGCCGCAAGGCCAAAGCAACATCGTGGAGTTCAACGAAGGCCATCGACTTTGAGTGGTCAACGACGCCGGGAGATCAACAATCTAGCAGCAAGTACGCGGTGACGAGGGTGAAACAACAATGTTGTTTTAATCGATGGCGGTATCGGGATTCGAACCATGGTACAAAGTTGATGTGTGTGCACGTGACTTTTACGCAAAGCAGAAAGAGGAGATCAAGGCAGTTGAGACACGTGGGATTTCAGGACGGAGCAGTTGAGAAAGCGGTTCCACCTAGCTTGAAGACTACGCAAGTGATTTCAAATAAAAGCAGCGGAGCAAGGAGAGAGAAAGGGACGACCAAATCAACACAGAACAACTCTGTCAAAACTTTACCTTTTCTCTGTAACTCCTTCGCGGAGCTCTCCTTCCAGGAAGGATCTCCATAGTTGTAGTCTTAGTCGTAGTCGCGGAGCTCTCCACAGGAATCTCCATAGGAGTAGCGGTAACGTAGATTCCTAAAAACTCAAACACGCTCGTTCGAACGTAGTTTGGAGAGGTGCGAACCGTAGTAACGGTCGTTCTTGGTTAGAAGTCAGAGGTGCATCGATCAAATCAACACCGCCCGGCGGTGGATATTTGACGGTCACGTTGATTTCACCATTTAGAGGTGCATCGATCAAATCAACGGCGCCGACATTCGGCGGCGGATATTTGACGGTCGTCTCGATTTCAGCAATCAGCGGTGCATTCGATCAACGGCACCGCAAGAGTTTCCACCGCGAAACATCAAATCAACATCGCCGGAAACCAAGTTCGGCAGCGGCGTTGACATTTGGTTTTTCCGAGGAAACAATTTGGCACACCCGGTGGGACACGTGTGTTTGAAATGGCTCTGCGGCGAGGAAAACAAGATTGCGATCTTCCACAAGAATTTCTGGACGAGCAAAGGACCAATACTGAAGTTGGTCAGGCGGACGAGGCAGATAGACATATCGGTCGGAGGAAGGAGTGGCCCCAATCCTTGTCGAGCACTGACGGGCGTGTTGCACTCCTGTCTCTTCGTCGAGCCGTGGAGGAGTATTACCAGCAGGTAACTCTCTATTTTGTCTCTTTGAATAAGCCGTGTGATTCTCTTGGAAGACATATGGATAAATTTTTCGAGATGATAGATGAACATGTTTCCGGTATTGCCAATAAGGATTCACTTAAACTTGTGGCTAAAACAGTGGCGTTAGGGGGCCAACAAATCTCATGTTGGTTCTCATGTGAACACTATTGTTTTGAAGGACAGGAAAGTTAGAGCGGTCTTGCGAAAGCCACAACTAAGAACAAAATTTAAACGTGTTCATAATAAGTTTCAGAAAATTAAGAAAAACAAGTGTGATGTCTTGAAAGATGACAAATTTTACCACATTATTCAATCTAAGCCGCTAGGGGGGCATGCCATCCCAGCTCGTGGTAGATTGAAGGAGAAACAACATCGTGGGTGGCAAAGAAGTTTGCCACACCCACCCTGCTCGAGGAGAAATCTAACAATAGTTTCCTCAAATACTCTTCGGTGTGGGGATGTTAACCACGTAGAAAAATCTAATGCCAACAAAGTTGGCATGACTCAACAGGATCGTTCACGTACATCATCCCTGAAGTTTTTATTGAGTGGACAGGGGGGCAAGTTCGGTCAAGCACGACAGGGAGTTGCAACACCAGTGCTTATGAGGAACAAATCTTCTACGAGTGGTGGCCAGGGAGGCAAGGCCAATGCCAAACAAATTCCAAACTCACGTGGAATTTTAAAAGGGGCAACGTTGTTGTGTGATAGGTGCAAAAGTCATGTTTGTGCTAAGCAAAGTACCAACGTACTGGTTGATGAAAAGTCTCGGCGCTCATACTACCAACCACATGGTGAGAGTGCGAAGCTGACAAAACTAGACCAGTCTAGGCAAGCGATGTCGCATGATCGAATTGGCAAGACAAAGGTGCCAAAAAACGGGAATGTCCTGTCTAGAGACAAGAATGCTTATAGTTTTCTAGTCCGTGAAGCTAAGATTAGGCCAAATCAGGATCGTGGAGTTTCAAACAAAGATGTTCGAGCTAGACGAACTGGGGATTTGCAAGCCAACTTTGATTCCAAAACATCAAAACCAACGCGTGCGAAGCCAGCTGTGATGAATCATGGACTTTACGGATGGCTTGTTTGGTTTGATCCATGGAGTTGGCAGTGGGTGTGGAGTTTTGGCATGATGGTTTATGCCAAAGTCTAGTTTGTTTCTTATTTAACTGTTAATAAATAACGTGGCTAAATTAGGCCACCTAATGTGTTATAGAGAAAATATTATACAATAGAATCAAGCGGCATTGCTAAGAAGAAGCCACAATATCGTTGGCAATAATTCAAAATGTCAAGCAGTGTTGTTTTCTCTTTTTTTCAACATCGTTGAATGATGCACAATGCTGTAAAAAAAACAAAAATTTTTTCTCAATTGCGGCCAAGCAGCCTTGAAAAAAAAAAATTGGCGGTTGAGAGAAAGAGGTTGCCAGGTCTGCTACATTGTAAAAAAAATAAAAAAAAATTTCTCAATTGCGGCCAAGCAGCCCTGAAAAAAAAAGTAGTGCTTCTCAGAGCTGCGGCTGTTTCCAAGCAGCCCAGGAAAAAAAAAAATTGGCGGTTGAGAGAAAGAGGCCGCCAGGTCTGCTACATTGTAAAAAAAAAAAATTCTCAATTGCGGCCAAGCAGCCCTGAAGAGGGGGAAAAAAAAGTAGTGCTTCTCATAGCTGCGGCTGTTTCCAAGCAGCCCTGAAAAAAAAAAAAAAAGGGGCAAAGGGAAGAGCGGCCTAAACAGGCCTGGAAAAAAAATATATATATATAAAAAAAAATTGCATGCAGCGCTGCTGCTGATGCAAACAGGCCAGAGTAAAATTAAAAAAAAAAATTTAATAGATGCAGCGCTGCTGCGCTGGTGGAGAATAATAATATAATATATTTTTTTTTTGCATGCAGCGTTGCCGCTGATGCAAACAGGCCTGAAAGAAAACAAAAAAAAATTATTATTATTAGATAATGATCGCAGCGCTTATGGAGGAAGAGAATAATATATAAAAAAAGAGCATCACGGCGGCTATGCAGGCCTGCTAAGGAGGAAAAATAGGCCAAAAGATTTCCGCCAATTTTTGGTGGATTGGTGGTCTAATTTAAAATTATTTTGGGTGTTGTGGATTATGTCAACAATTTGGTTCATAATTCTTATAAACCAAATTGTGGGGGGCATTGTTTACACCTAAAATATTTTTTGCCTAAATTCAATGCCGTAATAATGAGTCTCGGCATTTAATTCGATATCGCATGGCCAAAGTGATGTCGTTTGGTGTCGAGCAATGCCGCGGAGAATTTAAGCGAGACCGCGAGGAGGCTCGGCGGTACCGCGGTACTTGAAACGACATTGGTTGCAGACCATGTGTGAGTCACGCGCAGGACCTGTGTTGCTGTTGGACAAGGAATGTTTTTTATTTTATTTTTCCTTGTCGGAGGAGGAGAGTAACAACACAGTTTGGAGTCAAGCAATGCTGTGAAGAGATAAAACGGTGTTGCGGGCCTCAAAGCTCAACGGCATCGCGAGACAGGAGAACGGTGTCGTTTGGCTAAAAACGGCACCGCGATAAGCGGTATCGCGGAGAGTCAAAACGGTACTGCGGATTTAAAAATGATGCCGCGAGAGCCTGATAAGCGGTACCGATTAATTAAACCAAAATTCGCCTAGTCCAGTGCGAGCACCGATTGGCAGCAGTTCCATGGAATATTTTCGGCTATATCACCGGTGTCGTTTAAATTAAAAACGGTACGTGAGTAAGCCCAACGGTACCGCTGTATTAGCAAACGACAGTGTTTAAATATTTAAACAATGTCGCGGAAAGAAAAACAAACGGAGCTGTTTGGAGAGGAAACGACACCGCGGAGCTTGAAAACGATATCGCGCGAGGAATAAGCAATACCGCGGTGGTGGATAAAGCCACGAGCTAAACAACATTGCGGTGGAGAGAGATGTCGCGGTCGCGAATCTAGCGGCGTTGCTAGTGCGGCAATGCCGCGAAGTTCAATGATGCCGCAAGGCCAAAGCAACATCGTGGAGTTCAACGAAGGCCATCGACTTTGAGTGGTCAACGACGCCGGGAGATCAACAATCTAGCAGCAAGTACGCGGTGACGAGGGTGAAACAACAATGTTGTTTTAATCGATGGCGGTATCGGGATTCGAACCATGGTACAAAGTTGATGTGTGTGCACGTGACTTTTACGCAAAGCAGAAAGAGGAGATCAAGGCAGTTGAGACACGTGGGATTTCAGGACGGAGCAGTTGAGAAAGCGGTTCCACCTAGCTTGAAGACTACGCAAGTGATTTCAAATAAAAGCAGCGGAGCAAGGAGAGAGAAAGGGACGACCAAATCAACACAGAACAACTCTGTCAAAACTTTACCTTTTCTCTGTAACTCCTTCGCGGAGCTCTCCTTCCAGGAAGGATCTCCATAGTTGTAGTCTTAGTCGTAGTCGCGGAGCTCTCCACAGGAATCTCCATAGGAGTAGCGGTAACGTAGATTCCTAAAAACTCAAACACCCTCGTTCGAACGTAGTTTGGAGAGGTGCGAACCGTAGTAACGGTCGTTCTTGGTTAGAAGTCAGAGGTGCATCGATCAAATCAACACCGCCCGGCGGTGGATATTTGACGGTCACGTTGATTTCACCATTTAGAGGTGCATCGATCAAATCAACGGCGCCGACATTCGGCGGCGGATATTTGACGGTCGTCTCGATTTCAGCAATCAGCGGTGCATTCGATCAACGGCACCGCAAGAGTTTCCACCGCGAAACATCAAATCAACATCGCCGGAAACCAAGTTCGGCAGCGGCGTTGGCATTTGGTTTTTCCGAGGAAACAATTCTATTACAATTTTGTGTCTGTACTGGTTAGATACGCGGCCGGTTTGTTCTATTTTCATGTCCTTGTCTGGCTCCTCAATTATCTTCTTAATTAATTAGTAGTTTAGTACAAAGTAAATGAGCAAAGCCAACTAAATCATTAGCATAAACTAAGCATATGGCAGAGCAGAAATTAATTAGCAATTTGGTTGTAGCAGGCTAACTGAAGTTGGTTGTTACCTACCCCCAATAAATAGGTTTGACTTGGAATTCATATTATACATACAGTCAATGTCAATATATATTAGGCCTTTTGAGAGATGATAGTGACCCAGAAAGAAAGAAAGCAAGAGAAAGAAATCATAAGCAAAAAGGAGACCACCTCGTTTCTGTTTTGTTTTTTTTTTATTCCCAGGCCGAGAGGTGAGAACTGAGAAGTCAATTAACTCGATCGCCGATCCCTCTTTGACCTCTTTCACTAAAATTACTCTAATTGGGGGGGGGGGGGGGGATTCATTTCATTTCATTGGTTAAGGTTTGGAAATTCTTAATTATGGATGGTTGGCATCGGATCTAGGGCTGGAATTTCGGTTACTTCGGTTATAACCGGTAACCGAACGGTTAATCGAGATGACAGTCGATTCTACGGACAATCGGCGGACAGTCCGCCTCGGTTATCGGTTAGTTGGTCGGTTAACCGTGCTAACTGCACAACACAGTCGTCGAAAAGGAATGGCGCCGACGGAGGAGATGGCCGGGTTGCACAGGCAACAGAGGAGGACTGCTGCGAGCAGAGGAGACCGAGGCGAGGTCGCGGCTGCGGAGCAAAGGGGATGGCCGGCGGCGGCTTCGCGTTGGCAGAACAAGGGGCTGGCGGCAGCGACATCTCTGCCTCTCTGGTTCGTCGTCGTCGTTGCTGCTGGCTGCTCGTGGGCTGGTCGTCGGGGAGGAGATGGCGGAGCAGAAGGGCACGCGAGTCGGGCAGGGAGATGGCGGAGAGCGGTGGCGTTGCTCTCGTGCTCCGCTAGGGCCGCCTGGGAGTGGGAAGAAGAGAGAACAATGGTCTCTTCGTTGTTCAGGGCTGGGCAGGCGGCAGGGAGAGTGGGTTCAGGGCTGGGTATCGTCGCGATGCAGAGAGAAGAGAAGGGAAGGCGGCGTCGATTAGGGTTAGGCTTCGTCGGTTTTAGGAAATAGGAAGTGGGGGTGCGGCGGCGTCGCGGAATGAGGGGAGGGGGTTGATTGCTCGGTTAGCCGATTAACCGGCGTAGCTAACCCAGCTACCAACAACCGCTCGCAAATGATTTTTTCGGTTAATCGGTTAACCGATAACCGCCGGTTATTGATCTAACCGATCGGTTAACCGACAACCGATAATCGAACGTCCAGCCCTAATCGAATCATTATGATTCATTCAACTGCTCTCCCTCTCTCTCTTCGTCCTTAAGGGCCTCCATTCCTGAATATGATATAAATCCATTAATTAATTATGAATGCTTGGTTCCAACATCCAACCCACTTGCTTGCCAATCCAATTCACTGTTGCGCCCCCACTTGTTAAAATAAAATCTCACACAAACAAGAGAGATCCCTTGTTCTTTTTCCTTGAAGAACGCTGCAACGTAATCAAAAATAATCTCATGGTTTTAACCTTCTTTCTACTGGGGTCTGGGGGGAAGGGTTTTACGCGTTTACCACGTACGTTAGTCTTTGACAGTTAAACGAACACGGCATGTGCTGATCAGCGAGACCTTCAATGATAAATGTCCTCTTTTGTCCCACCCTGAAATAATGATAACTTATCCCTTGCTTCTGCAATGTCTCGTTTCTAGTGTTTGGAATCCTTAGGGGCTACGATACGAACCAAGCCTGGGCTCCTCTCGCTTCCGCCATGTTCCAATTATCGATTCATATTTACAAAGATCTCCCCAATATTATTATTCTCTATTTGCTCGGCCTAACAACAAAATTCCCAACCGAAAATTGTAAAAGTCGATGATTGCAGAAGTAAAACTAAACACAAGACACGGATTTTACGTGGTTTCCCCGTTCAGAATGAACGGGACTAGTCCACGGAGAGTGGTGACTCTCGGCTGTTTTCTTATTTTTGTTTTTGTTCTTGCTTACTGTTCTCGGCAGCCCTAGCCGACTACTTATACACAAAACCCAACCCTTTCCACAAGTCACATAGGGTTGGATCAATGATAAAGGAAAATAACAAAATAGTCCTCAAACATAAATAAATAGATAAAATGCACCGCAACACTCCCCCTCAAGCGAAGGAGTGAATGTCGAGAAGTCCGAGCTTGCCGAAGAGATGATGAAACTGCTCCACACTCAATCCCTTTGTGAACAAGTCAGCCGGCTGTTCAGAAGTGGCAATTTTACGAGGCTCGTTGTCACCGGACTAAACACGCTCCCGAACAAAAGGACAATCCATCTCGACATGTTTGGTGCGCTCGTGAAAGACTGGGTTGACAGCAATGTGTAATGCGGCCTGATTATCACAGAACAAAGTAGTGGGACCTGTCAAGGCAACTCCCAAATCACGAAGGAGCCAACGGAGCCAAAGTACCTCACTGACTGTGCTAGCCATAGCACGATACTCAGCCTCTGCAGAAGAACGAGATGCCACTGTCTGCTTCTTAGTACGCCAAGAGATGGGAGATGATCCAAGCATGATGAAATAACCTGTGGTGGAGCGGCGTGTAACGGGACAACCACCCTAGTCAGCATCACAAAATGTTGTGAGAGTAAGCGAGGAAGACCGTGGGAAGAAAAGGCCACGCCCAGGAGAAGCTTTAAGACATCAGAGAACACGAATCGCTGCATCCTCATGGGCTTTGGTGGGTGCCTGCATAGCCTGACTGAGAATGTTAACAGCATATGTGATGTCGGGCCGGGTAACAGTCAAGTAGAGAAGACGGCCAACCAGCCGACGATAGGCGCTGACATCCTCGGCAGGAGGGGAAGGAAGACGACCAATGTGATGCTGCTGCTCGATGGGAGTAGAACACGGACGAGCAGCCTCGAGCCCAGCATCCTTAAGAATATCGAGCACGTACTTGCGCTGATTGAGAACAACCCCTCGAGGTGAACGAGCAACCTCGATACCCAGAAAATACTTCAATGGGCCGAGATCCTTAATGGTGAACTGGTCATGTAGATAACTCTTGACCTTGCCAATGAAATCCAAGTCTGTACCAGCTAAGATGACGTCGTCCACGTAAATGAGGGCAACCACATACGTGGAACCACGATGATAAGTAAAAAGGGCGTGGTCAGCTCGACTCTGTACAAACTCAAACTCAAGGAGAGCTTGAGTAAACTTCTGATACCAATTGCGCGAAGCCTGGCGCAACCCATAAATGGACTTGTGAAGACGACATACACGAGTGTCTCCCAGACGAGCAAAACCCTGCGCAACTGCCATATAGACCTCCTCGTCGAGATCCCCATGAAGAAAGGCATTATTCACATCAAGCTGATGAATATGCCAGTACCGAGCGACTGCGACAGCGAGCAAACAACGAACAGTGACCAGCTTTGCTACCGGTGCAAAAGTATCGTGATAGTCGACTCCTTCTATTTGTGTAAATCCTTTGGCCACAAGACGCGCTTTGTAGCGCTCCACCGATCCATCAGGATTGAACTTTATTTTAAACACCCATTTGCATGCAATGCAACGCTTTCCTGGAGGAAGAGTCATAAGAGTCCAAGTCCCATTGGCAATCAATGCGTCTATCTCGCGTTGCATCGCGTCCCGCCAATGTTTATGGCGAACTGCTTGATAAAAGTATTTCGGCTCCTCAACAGCCGTAATCGCCGCGACGAAGGCATGATGAGCTTGCGAAAGCCGATGATAAGATAAATAATCTTCAAGTGGATATCGAGCTAGGGCCGAATGCGCTGTACCTGGAAGGTCCACTTCATATCCTTGCAGGCGTGTAGAAGGCACGCGGACCCGATCTCCACGACGAGGCGGAGGAACGTACACAGCGGCTGGGGAAGGCGTCCCAGGTGATGATGACGAGGCTTTAGACCCTGCATCGGGAGGAGAGGCAATCGGCGGCGTCTCTACAGGAAGGGACAAAGGTGAAGCAGGCTCTGGAGAGGCCTGTTGTTCGCCCGCGCCAGCAGCACCTTGAGTGGAAGTAGAGTCCACAATCGGTTGTTGTTCAGGGAGAGAAGAAGAGGGACGAACCACGTGCTCATCTTCACCATCATCATCGAGGAACCGCTGGGGTATGCCAAATTGTGGGGATGAAACCATCGCGGGAGAAGGCGACACTCCACCCGAGACATCTCGATACGGATAGATGGTTTCAAGGAACTTTACATCGCGAGATGTATATATGACATGCTTCTCAAGGTCATAGACCCTATACCCACGTTGGCTAGAAGGATAAACAATAAAAATACCCGCACGACCTCGGTCACCAAACTTATGAAGGCCCTGATGAGTATCGCGAACATAGACGAGGCACCCAAAAGTGCGAACATGACGATAAGAAGGGTCTCAGCCAAAAAGCACCTGATATGGAGACTTGTTGGCGATGCTGACAAGTGGGAGGCGATTGATGAGATAGGCAGCTGTCAATATGCATTCGCCCCAGAATTTCAGAGGAAGATTGGCATAAAACCGCAATGCCCGTGCAGTATCAAGGAGATGCCTGTGTTTGCGCTCAACCACGCCATTCTGTTGGGGCGTATTGGTACAAGAAGTCTGAAGAACTATGCCATTCTCCTCATAGAACGAGGTCAGGGCATTAGTCGAGAATTCGGGTCCATTGTCGGCATGTATCCTGCGCACCTGTTTCCCAAATTGAGTGCGTACCAGGTTGCGAAAATAAAGTAAGTATCGTCCAACATCCGATTTGTGGCGCATTAAGAATACCCAAACTGCCCTGCTATGATCATCCACTATCGTTAAAAAATAGTGTGCCCCAGAGATGGACGCAACTTTATAACTGCCCCAGATGTCAATGTGAATGAGTTCGAAGCAAGACATAGTTTTAATGGAGCTAGAATCAAATGAATCGCGAGTCTGCTTAGCCCGCAAACAAGACCGACATGGTTCTGAATTCTGGATAAAAGAACAATCAACAAGTTTCTCCAAAGAATGAAGTTTAGCCATAGACGGATGACCAAGGAGTGCATGCCACAGCTCCGTATCACTGAGAGACCGCCGAACGGAATGCGCCACTGGATGCCCATTGTCAAACAGCCTGAGATAATAAAGTCCATCGACATGCTTACCCATCCCAATCAGCCTCCTGGAGGGTAAGTCCTGAATCACACAAAAGTCACTCAAGAAGATCAATGCAATCGGGAGATCAGCTGTAAGACGACTGACCGATAGAAGATTGCATTGGAAATCAGGCACATGCAGGACTCGACGCAACAATAGATCACTAGACAAACGACTGGTGCCAATACGATGTACTTTGACACCCGTACCATTCGGTATTTTAACCTGCAAGTTAGGTGACGAGTCCAACTCGGCATCCAATAACGAATCTTGGTTAACAATATGTTCATTGCAACCTGAATCTATAACCCAAGAAGAGGAAGTAGAAGTGAACGTACCAGCCATGTTAGAGGATGGTTCGAGAGAAGGTTGAGCGGCTTGTTTTATGTCGCCACCAAGAAGGGCCTTGAGCTGCGCAAACTGAGAGGCTGTGAGAGCCGGCAGGGGGCTATCATCGGACTCAACCTGCGCAGCATGTGGTGTCGAACGTGAGTTCTTGTCCGATCGACGACGAGGTGGGTCCCCTTTGTCTCCATTCCGCGGCGGGAAACCCACAAGACGGTAGCAGGTGTCTCGGGAATGCCCAACCCGCTGGCAATGTGTGCAGCGGAGCTTCCCGTCAGAATCTCTCTCACGATCGCGCTCTCTATCCCGGCCGCCTTGACTGCCGGCGCGATCAGAACGTTTCTCCCCCTGAGCTTGAAAGACCGCTGCTTCAGGGCGAGGCTTGCGACTGCTGGTAATCTGCCTCTGCTGCTCGTCGTTAATGACGAGCTGATATGCCTCTCCAAGCGACGGAACAGGCTTCATCGCAAGGATCTGGGACTTGACGGTAGAAAATGCATCATCCAAGCCCATTAAAAAATCAAACAAGCGCTCTCCTTCACGTACCTCGCGCTGCCGACGTTTGACGTCACAAGTGCACCCAGCACACGTGCACTCTAGGGATGGAGACAACGACTGCATCTCATCCCACAGGCCGCGCAATTTCGTATAAAAAGCAGAGACCGATAGTTTCTCTTGCTGGGAAGAACTAATGCGCCGCTTCAGGTCATACATTCGGGAAGCACTCCCTTGGCCAAAGCGCGCCTGCAAATCAAGCCAAATTTCTCGAGCAGTGGAAGCGAAACAGACACTGCTACGTACCTCTTTGGTCATGGATGTTTTTAACCATCCCTTTACCATAGCATTGCAGCGGCGGAGGGCATCTATCTCGAGTGGCGTCTGCGCGGGCGGTAGGCTACCGTCAACGAAACAGATCTTGTTTTTGGCCACAAGAGAATCGGTGATATCAATCACCCACTCGCCGTAATTGCCGTCGGTGAGAAGTTCCCCGACAAATAGATTGCTAGGGCTATCCGACTGATGTAGTTGAAGATGAGAGGGAAGGCTA